GAAATCTAGTGCTTGCCATTTCACTGTATTCTCTATCTTTATATATAGATGTTATGATCATTTTTTATTAAGAAAATTAAACGTAATGTTTTTCAACATCTTTCCCTGCAAGTCACAATAATTTTTTAGTAATATTAAATCCAAAAAATGTCATAAATTGCAAATATCATCAATTTTACAATGTACAATAATATTTTAACCTTGATTAGAACAATGATAACATCTATGTAATACCCGCAAAACCATTGACATTATACGAGCACTACATATTCTAGTTTTCTAGTTTGACATGCGTTGATTATTAAATTATCAAGGCAATCATAGGCCCATCATTTGATAATAAAAACTGTACGATGAAACGGTTGATGAGTGTCATTTTTGGATTGAGGCAATGTGGCTAGCTTTTCAACTGTTACCATTGACAGTGATTGCTGCAAAAGTAGCAACACAGAGCAATCAATGTCAAAGTCAACAGTATAAGCTCTGCTCATTTGAAGCCTTTAGAAACCCATGAAGCACGTAAACATAAATGCGTTTAAGTGCACACAACTTGTTTGGACGCAGTAAAATGGATAAGTCTGTTGTCAAATTGTCAAGGACTTTGCTGTAAACCTGCCAAACTCTACGTTGAAGTTGTTGCATGTATTCGATTCGAATTAAGTCCTTCACTTTGTGTGAGTGCATTTACTGCGTTTTAAATTTTTACTTCATTTACTTTCATATAAAACTCAATTCTGGAAATAAATTTGAAATACGTCAAAGTATAATAAATAAGAAGACTAACGTTAAATAAAGAACTTAAGAAAAATTTTTCTCTTGAATAATTAGAAGAATCAAAAATTTGAGCACATAATTAGTTTTCTACGCTTACTTAAGGTGGAATAAAATAACAAAAGTTTTCGTCTTACCTCTGGTAGAGGACCATTTGCGACAAATTTCCACCTGCTGAGTACTAAGTCTTTCAGTTGAACTAATTACCAAAGCGTTTTGTGTTACCAACTTGGAGTGTAAGAAACTGCAAGTTTTCTGAACTTTATTGAAGTGTAATAAAATACGACTACATACAACGACTACATAGTCAATTACAGTAAAACTCGAAAATCTCGTCCGTAATATTTATCACGCTGAGTTAAACTACTCAATTTCGTATGTGTTTAAGGTACGAGTATCAGTGCGGAATACCGTAGGGCATCAATTTGTCAACAATGTGTATAAATCGCACTAAGATTTTGATTAAGCACGCGTCAGAAAGAAAAAGGGGACTTTTCTTTTGTCAAAGTGCACGCGAACTGTATATTACAATGAATTCCAAAATTCTTAATAAGTAATTTTACAAGAAAAATGTAGCTTTGTATTTCATTTAATATAATTAACAGAAATTTTCTTGCAAGAATTACTTTATTTCTATCTAACAGATGTTTGATGACAGAGTATGTTATCTAAGGGTATAGTGCTGATCAAACTAATTGGCCAACATGCCATTACGTTACTAGTACTTGAAAAGACACCTTCATTTTTAGCTAATAAGCAACTATAACAAGGCTCTACTAAACCGCAAGATGCTTAACGCTAAACACTTCTATAAGAGAGTTGGCAAAAGCTACACACCCACAAAGTTGGTGTCTCACTGCAATAATCTTTTTCTCATTTTTACAACTTCTACTATATTCTTGTAAGGATATCTTTACCCTTAGTTTAATACAGTCTGAAGTATTAATATTAAGACAAACCATAAATATATATAATATATACATATATTACTTTACTATAAACTATTCTTAGAGTTTTTTAAGAAATTTTATATAAGCAGCACATTGTATAAATGGTGGTAGTGCTAAGGATTACGTTTCCTTCGAAATTAAGTAATATAATAAAATTGTTTTTTCATTGTTTTATTAGAATAATAAAAGCTAAATAGCATGACCGAAGCCTAGAAGTGGCTCCTAGAAGGGCACACACTGAGAATATTAATATATTGCTATGAAAAACTATTTAAAAAAATTATGAAAGTTAAATAAGGAATGAAGACTGACAAATAGAATTTCTAGCTTTTCATAATTTGTGAGCAAAACTGCCTGAATACATGTATAGAACCTAAATATATAACCATACCTTTATTATCTATCTATCATATTTAAATGACGATATTACTCTATTAAGAAATATTAATTCAAAGATACTTTTAAGCCAAACCCACTCTAATACGCTTTCTTCTTATCTCTAGAACAAGAATATGATACTGATCTTTGTGCTATGACTTTGTTTTTCTAAATATATTTCATAATGCAAACAAACTTCAGGTAATATAACTTCAGATAAAGTAAAAATTATAGTTATAATAAGGATTATATACTTTATATAGATATAGCTTCGTAAAAAATTAGACATATATAAAAATTTTATATAAAATTAAAAGAATTAATAATAGAGCTATAAATTTTTGTGTATTTAGACTACAGTCCTTTTCCAATTTTGCTTCTTATCTTCTTCTTTTCTTTTTATTCTTTAATACTTTGATATAATATAACATATCGTATTCTGAAATCAACATAAGTAGACTTAATTCCAACTGTTTCAGAATAAAATCGCTGCTTTTGAAAGTTTTAAATATTCCTTAAAGCAGAGATTAAAATGTTCACATAAAATTCAAACTCAAACATAAATGATTTTGAAAAGATTAATGCATTACAAAATGTTTAACACAGCTTATCCTTTCAGAGTAAACCACAAATTTGCAAAAAAAAAAAACTTTTAAAGGCTCAGTGAAAAACAATTTATATTTTTTCATTAAAATTTTGTGCTACTTAATGTCAGAAACGGAAATTGAAAAAAGTATTATATGTCATATTCGTTTCCGCAAGCATTAACACATTAACATTATGAAATATGCACCGAAAAACGCTACATATTTAGCACAGTTTTAGAACACCTTCACTTTAGCACCTCTCTGAATGCGCTTTTCGGACCCCACAGATGCTAATGTGTGCTGAATTATAAATGCGATGCATGTGAATGTGCATGTGCATTTCAATCCGTAAATTTGAATGTGTGCTTATGCGATTATGTGTGAGTGCACGTATTCGGTAATGAGAACATGCTAATGACATTGAGCTTGAAATTGGAGGTTGCGGTTTAATTTACGCTCGGCACATCCAGTCTGAATTTTTATTGGACTAGCAGGAGTATTGCCACAAGGATAACAAAAATGCAGTAAAAATGAAAACGCTATATTGCAGCAACATTACGTGCATTTTTTATTATACCTTCATTGTGAACAACTTAAAATTTTATATTATTTGCATATAAGTTCTTCACTTACTAAAATGGAAATCTGCAGTAAGTGGACTTTACTAAAATAGAGCGGACAAATCATTTTAATGAGGATATTTTATGTGCTTTGCCATAGATTTTTTACAGGAATTCGCATAAAGATAGGACTTGTATAAAAATTTGATATTCAATTTTGTATTTAAAGAGCCAAACTCACTTACAAACTAATGTATTTC